GAGGAGGCTGAGGGGAGACCTCATCGCAGTCTACAACTTCCTCGTAAGGGGGTGTCGAGAGGCAGGAGACCTTTTCTCCATTAACACCAGCGACAGGACCCGCGGGAATGGGGTTAAGCTGAGGCAGGGGAAGTTTAGGCTGGACATCAGGAAGGGGTTCTTCACAGAGAGAGTGGTTGCACACTGGAACAGGCTCCCCAGGGAAGTGGTCACTGCACCGAGCCTGACTGAATTTAAGAAGAGATTGGACTGTGCACTTAGTCACATGGTCTGAACTTGGGTAGACCTGTGCGGTGTCAAGAGTTGGACTTGATGATCCTTAAGGGTCCCTTCCAACTCAGGATATTCTATGATTCTATGATTCTAAGCCAGCTTCTGGATATTATCCTCGTGAGTTAGTGACCTGTGGGAGAAGGAGAGGACTTAGAAACCTGCAAAATAGGATCGCTTTTAAATGCTACTTTTTGCCTTCAGATGTAATCCAGGTGGATTCACAGACTGAGACTGATGAATGTCTGATAAACGCTTACCCCGATTTATCAGTTATATTGTAGGGTGTCTAGGACTGCTGGAGGAAATACCTGGGAAATGGTTTCATACTGTTAATTTAATGAAAGGAGATTCATTATTTTTTTCCTATCACCTGCTCATCTAGATCAATATTCAGCTTCTACTTCAGTGTATTTCTTTGCTTGAAACTAAAGCACACTTCATGTTTCTTCCATTTCAGTTTTACAATGCCCTTGGTGGTCGTATCTGTTAAGACAAATTAGACCAATGAATCCTTCAAAGTCGCTGTAAATGCCTGTTTTCACATTTCAGCCAGCAGAATTGCCAGTAACAATTGCTATATTTAAATTACAATAGAGTATTGCCAGTGATCCTGACCTTTTCTTACCAGAAACTGTAAGCACATCACCCCACTCCAGTTCCTTAACATTCTCAAAGTTCTAATTTTTTTCCTGGAAGTGATCATAAAGAATTCTCCCATAGACTCTCATTATTTCTTTTTTTTAATGATGTGCATTGCAGTCTTCATTCTCCATTACCTAGTATTATTTTCTCATTTTTTCAGCATACCTGGTATAAACAGAGATGGTACAGGTACATGGTGCAATTCAAGCCATGACATTGGGAACGAGACCCAGATTTTGAAGGTGTTGTGAGCAAGACCTGGAAAACCTGGAATTCCATCAGTTTGCTAGGGGACATCTTCAAGAGGCCCAACTCTACCACATAATGAATAACATAGTTTATTGATACAATAAATGAATCCTGAATGAAAACAGGCATTAATACTGTTGGGAAAGAACATGTTGGTAAGATCAGTATATGAGAGTCTCACATGGGAAATATTTTGAGAGGGAGAATAAAATTATTGGCAGAAAATGTGAAACATAGCAACGAAGTTGAAAATTTGTTTTGTGCTTAAGAATATGCAGACAAGTCCAAGAAGAAAGTTTCTTCCAATTTAAATAAAAATCACAGAAAACACAGATTTCTCTGCTCTTTGAATAGATGTGCCAACTAATTTGAATGCATATGCTTCCATCTATATTTTTATCACTTATTTACATGCATAGGCACACACTTGCAGCTATGCATCTGTGTGTAAAAATGCACGAGCCATGTACAACTTCAAGCTTGTTTTTATTAATATACATACATATATATATATATATATATCAGGCCAGCCAGAGGAATAGCAATAATATTTCTCTTGCGTGCTTGTTCTTGTATGTCTCATTTACATATTTATGCAGCTCCTATTTTCTTTCTAAAATAAAGTCTTATGAAATTATCTGCCTAGGCTTTCACAAGGACACAAATCACCAAGCTTTTGAATTTTTGATTAATTCTACCCACTTCATTTTTGCAATTCTGGACTTTCCTGAGTGTGTTACTATGCCATCATTCATTTGCCATCAGCAAAAACACCATGGCTCCAGAATGAACTCTTAATTATGCTTAGCATTCATGTCAACACTGTCCATAACAAAATGAATTGATTGAACATCTGCTTTTTCATATTTATCTTGTAGTGCTGACTTATTACACTTTCATTCTAAGTTATCTACGAGAAACAGGAATGAAGCAGGATGAGTTTTGCATTGTTTTTATTTGTTTTTAATTTTCTTTAAAGCAGCAAGCAGATCACAAATATGCTAAACGAAATAGAAATGGAACTAAACAAAACAATTGGTAACTTAAAACCAATGAGTACATTCACAGGGTCCATTGTATTGTCACTTAGCCTTGCAGTTGTGACCTATGTGCTCTTTCTATCTGTTTTGCACTCAGTTGTGCTGGGCTTTATATAGACTGAAAGATCTACAAGGAATGAGCTATGTCCTGGATTGTGGGACAAGCTTTTTGTTATGCCTCCAATAGCAAAACACATGCTTCTACCAGCATCAGATTATACCAAGAGGTATAAATCCAGCTCAGCTACCAAAGGAAGGATGAACCCAAAATAGAAAATAAATTAGTAACCTAGGCTAAATCTTCCCACTTCAACCTTAGTGCTGGATATAAAATTTCTGATGGAAAAGAAAGCTTCCCTGGAAGATCTCAGCATCTGATTATAGAATACTTAATCTGAAACATCTTGGGGTCTGCTGAGGTTCCAAACAATACAAAGATGTGACCAAGGAACCAAGGATGGGATTTGCTCCTGCCTTTACAGCCTTTCCTAAAGGAGGACTATAAAGACAGCCAGGGTAACCCAGAGTGAAAGGATCTCATACTATGCCAGAAAGAGAAAAGAGCCAGAAGGGAGCAGTTTCTATGATGTGAAAATCCGACTGCATGCAAGTACACGTAGATTTTTTTTCCCCAGTGAACGTGCTGCCTAGAAGGGGTAGTGAAATGTCCAACAGTGGATATTTCAACACTCAACTGGATAAGCGTCTGAACAACCCGATCCTTCTTTGGGATGTTGGATCAGATAAGCTCCAGAATTACCTTCTAGCTTAAATTATTCCATGATTCCTTGACTTCAGGCAGATGAAATACTGATATTTTCATTGATTAGTCAAACACAACCTCCTTTTTAATCAGTGGAGAGAAGGCAGGTGTCACTCATTTCAGCCTAAACTGTTGAGGTCTGATGAATTGCACAGAGAAGGGCTTATGTCTTCCCAAAAAAGGAAGGCTACAAAAGGAGTCTAAGCCAGAGTTTAAGTCTGGCTCAGGTGTGAATATCTAACCACCAGAAAAATGCATTTAGAGAAGAAGAAGAATAGCTAGTCTACCTCCTGAAAAGATGTCTTGGCAATGAGGATCTTACAGGCAGTGTGGCCTCAGAGGAACTTGGTGGGACATGGGAACCATGGGAGCCTTCAGCACATGCTCAGAGAAACTCATATGCTCTCTTAAATAATCAGAATGTTCTCTTTTTTTAAATGTGTCATGATAGAACCTAAGGGACTCTACAAAGGTCCTTTTCCTGAATTAATTCAACTAAATCTGATGTTTTAACAGTTTAGGTAAGCTGCTGCATCCTCTGAGGAATTTCCCATTTGGTTTCATCCTCACTCAAACGAAAAAAGTTTTAAAACAGAGTTCTCGTGGTACTACACTTTGGGGGAAATTCAACAGCACCCAAATCGAGGGTTGAATGATGAAAGCAGTTTCTTGAACCTGTTGTATTCATATTCAAGTGAGATAGTCACTATGTCAGTTCTCCTGCAAGATCTGAAAGAAAGGGAAACAGGAGAAAATTTTGTGAGCTTGACTGAGATGACAGTAGTTAATGTACGATTGCTCTGATTTGTGCATGGCTGGAAAAAGTCATTATATTTAAAGAGAAGTTTCCACTGCAGTGAAAAGAAGAGTCAAATGCACGTCCCTCCACACAACAGAAACCATTCTGAAGGTGCAACTCACACCTCTTACCTCTGAAGTGATGTCCAGGGGGGCTTTGCCGAGCTGTTGGTGGAAGGCATTGCTATTTTCTGCAGCAAAAGGACACTCTGCCAAGAGGGGGCAGTGTCTTTTTACTGCATGTCCTCTCAGCTCTGTTTTGCCCGTGACGGACTCAGCGTTCACCAAGACAAGGAGAGAGTAAGGGGCATTTTGTGCCAGCCCCGGGGAGCAGAGCCACTGAGATCTTTCTCTAGGTATGTCTCCCACGACTGCATACACAGCTTTAATTAAGATGTGATGTTTACTGCCATCTTTCTGAGCCAGAACAGATGTTGTGCTCCAGTGAAAGACTCTTCCAAGATGACTTGAGAACTCAGTGACATGTGGAAATTAATGGGATTTTTGTGGTCAAATTTATCTCAGCATCGCTTGCCACGAAGAGCAGTCTTTGGGGCTCTTCCACCACATCAGTCCAATAATGTTACTAAAAGTAAAGACAAAACCGCTTCTCTCAAAGTGCTTAGAAACATCAGTGACTGTAAACAACACCTCCGAATGGTTAAAAACATCTTGATGCCAAAACGTGAAGCCTCTTAGGCAAAGAGAAGTTGCCCACAGTGATGGAATAAGTTGGGAGGAGCAGTGACAATACTCTTGCCTTGTATTTGGGTCTGGGCAGATGCCCAACCTTGCTTTTCCCACCGGCAGATGGGCTGAGACCCCTGTGAGAGACCAAGGCACCACGCTGGGCTCTGCACCCTTTGCTTCCTCCGCACTTAGCCTGCACCAAAATGTGCATCTGCCCCAGATGTGTTTTCTGGGGTCCCCAGGATCACTGGTGCACAAGTGCAACGTGCTGTGCGTACGTATTTTGGGAAACATGCCAAAATGAGTGTGTCAGGGAGGATTTGGCCTCTTTGCTGTGGTGGACTCCACACTGAGGGAGAAAACACTTTATGGTATTGATGAGGACAGAGCCGGATCCGGTGGTTCTGAAGCAGACAAATGTCAAATGGCTAAAACCAAAGGAGCGCTGGTGACTGATCAGCTGTGAAAGAATGAATTAGCTTTGCTTTCCACATCCTCCTACGAGTCCCCAGAATAGTTGGTGTGGCTGCAGCGCACTATTTCTGAACATGTTGTGCTCTCTTTTGTGCTGGCAAAAAGGAGAAAGAAAGAAAAAAGGGTTTCTGCAACAACAGAAACACGAGACTCCCCGCGTTCGGATAAAACCAAGAGGAGAACTCTCCAGGAGGAGAAGCAGGTACGGCTGTTTTCACTGGACCCCTGAGCAGGATGAAGACAGGTTTTGTAAATAGCCTGGTGTTCCCGTATTGACATTTCCTCCGCGGGCAGCGCTCCTGCTTTGTGCGGGCGCCTGGCGCTCGCACACAGCCCAGCTCTGTTGTGCAAAGCCAGGCATGCGTGAGCTGATCGCTGGAGACAGGCGAGGAAAAGGGGGGACCTGGGCGAGGACGAGTCAGCTGGGGACAGGGAACACTGCGGCTTTTGTGGAGCAGGTGGGAGAGGGAGAGGCAGGAGAGGGAGGCATCCCCAGGCTCCTCTCGCTTCCCAGACCAGCTCCTGGGGAGAGCAAAATAGGCAGAGCCGCTCAAGCACAGCAAAATTCTGCATGGGGAAAATGAAAGGAAGCCTTGGGGCACAGGGGATAGCACTGCACTATGCAGTCGTGGAATATGGGCTCTGAGGAGGGGGAAAAAGATCGTGCCATGGCTGCTGCAGAAACCAAACCCATCCCCAGGCGCACCACAGCCCCGCTTCCCACCTCTGCTCCACTCAAGGCCTGCATGGTTTTGAGGCCTTATGTACAGAAATGAAGACTGACAGGCCTGCAGTAGCATTCAAACGACCTCCCTGGCAATATATGTTCAGGTCTTTCCCTGAGAAATGCCAGAGACATTCAGTTATTGTTTACTGTTACAGGAATGTGCATATTTCCCCCCCTCCCCTCCCTCCTGAATCAGATGAGGGGAAAAAAAAACAGGTTTAGAGGGATCACCTGGCTTTCCTTTTTCCCCACGGGGCTTTTCCCACAGCTGAGGTTTGAAGAGAGATGATGGCTAAGAGAATTCGTTTTGGAGCTGCATGAGCAACCCGGCGGAGGAAAACATGCTTCCTATCAGTGTTGTTTCTGCTGTGTCTGCGATGGAGGAAATGAGAGCAGAGGCTGAGGGGGAGTGAGCAGGACTGAGGAAGAGAAAGGAGAAGAAACAAGGGTGATAAGGGCCAAGCAGGCCTCTTATGAACTTCTCTTGGGCTGTGCATGTTCCAGGCAGTAGGAATATGAAAGGAAATTGCTCTCTGAGCCCTGGGTAGGTAAACATTATGTATTATTTTATTTTATTTTATTTTATTTTATTTTATTGTTTATTTATTTTTTTCTTTTTACAGCGTCTGTTCTCTTTACAATGTGTGTCTTCATGTCAGCTTTGTATTCATCCATTTTCTTACACCAGATCCAGTGGGTTACTGCAGATAGGAGAAGCCAGTAGCTATGTATTTACTGCACCATCCATACCATCCATACATAAACCCTTTGTTTCAGAGAAACCTCTTAGCTAGGCTGATCCGCAAGTTTGGGTAAGGTAGAGGATGAGGCTTAAAACGATCACAGCAAAGCTCGAGTCCCTGATTGGAGAGGGCCTTGGTACCTGCTGGGACGAGGACAGGAACATCCACTGAATTCCTCTGGAGGTAAAAGGACCTTCCCTATACCAGAAGCCAAAAAACAAGGCACTATACTAGGATGTTACTGGAAACTGGGAAAATGTATCGGGGGGCATGTCTGCCCTATTCTTTTATTATTCCCTTAGCATCCATAATTAGCTGCTGCTGGAAAGCCCGGGTGCAACAGGCCTGCCCTAGCAGAGTGCAGCTACTCTGGCAGCCTGACACTGTTCCTCCACGAGGAGTAGTCACACTAACCTGAACAGCACCGTTCTTGGATGTGTTATATCATGACTGCATCCAAGTGCTTACAGGATTTTGACTTACCAAAGTTTGCAGGGCTTCTGCTTTGGTCTAGCTTTTTGGGCATCAGTAGAGATGCCCGGTGCATTGTTGTGAGAGCCAGGGTCTGCCCTGCTTGCTGCTACCAGAGCTTTTGGGGACACACTCCCAGGCCTGTGGCACACATTGTAATGCTGCAGAGGATTTTGACTATGGCTAAAAGAAAAAAAAAAAAAAAAAAAAAGAGCCATCTGAAGACAGAAGGAGAGACCTGGCTGAGTCCCGGGAGAGGGGCTGGAGCTGGGAGGAATTTCACTGCAGCAATGATCAGCATCTTCTGCAGAGAAGAGAGCAGCAAGAATGCGAAGCATCTGTCCTATCTGCAACGTACTGTGACGAGAGAGTCGCCCTCTGCTACGAGCCTGTTTTGGTGGCAGCGAAGCTCCCGCATGCCTCGCTGCAGTCATTTCCCAGGAGAGGTCGGCAGGAGGTGGGCACCAGGGCAGCTGATTCAGCAATTGCTCTGAATTCAGCTTTTTTCTTCATTCCGTATCAAAAATAAGGAGCTGTTGTTTACGCCGGGCTCACTGAACGGCCCCCTGTTCCCATGATACCTAGAGGAGGCTGACAATTATCCTCCCTGGCTTCTCCCCGGAGCTATTTTCTTTGCTGGCGGGGAGGAAATTGTTCATGTTTCATTGGCGCTACCGTTGTTCCAGCTGCCAGAGCAGGAATGTTTGTCCGCCAGCCTGCATCGGTGGCAGCGGCTCCCCTTTGGACCTGCCATCTGTTAGCTTATCGCTGCTCTTATCTGTGCCATGGCAGGGGCTGGGGGCATGGCCCCCGTGCCCAGCACTGCTCCAGCGTGCCAGCAGCAGCAGGGACAGGTAAGGGACACCTGGGGCAGGACGGGGGGGCTGCTCTGCCCAGATCCTGTAGGAAAGCTTGAACTGTGTCGCCACGTCTCTCCTCGGCCGTGATTGATCCCTTACTGAAATGCCTCCTTAAATATCCGCTGTAAATAGCAGCTGCAGTGTAACACAGGGGGCTGCTAGTCCCTGATTTACAAAACAAGGGTTCATATAAACATCCTCTTTCGGAAGCCTTGCGTCATCTGGGAAAAAAAAAATAAATAATAATAATAATAAAATTTACATTTCACCTGGTTCTTATCCCACTGGGATTCTCTGTACCATGGGATCCTCCCTGACTGGGAGGTTGTTTTTTTAGGGTTGATTCCTGGGGAGGCCTGGATTTTCAGATGTTGCAGTCTCAGGCCTGACTGTGCTGCGATTGCTGTTGGAAGAACTGAGACCCGAGAAATGAGACCTAAAAAACAAGACCCGCAGCATCCCTGGCCACCCCCCCAGGGCTGCAGCTTGATCTTGGCAGTGCTGAACCCTCTTGTCCGGAGCCGTGTGGGTCATTTCATCTTCCAACCCTTGTTCCAAGCTCTCGTTTCCCTTTGTCTGGAGCCGGCGAGGGGCTGGTTTCTCCCCCCGGAGCGTGCAGTGCCGGAGCCGCGCCGCTGAGCGGCACCGTCCATCCAGGCACCTCGTCCTGCAGGGCACCCGCACTGCTCCCCGAGCAGGTGGCCCCCGGGACACCTCACCCCTGGGGGGGCCTCAGCAGCACCCCCAAAAGCCGAGGGGTGAACCTATAAAACGCCAGGGGTTGGGGAAAGCTAGGCTGATAACCCCAACCACCCGTACGACACCCACGTTGCATCCCAATGCAAAGCACCTTTTGTGATTTCCAGCGTTTGGACTTGGTAGGAAGCATTCGTATTTATTTATATATGTTCCCCCCTCTCTACTTTCTCGTCTTTGTTTTTTGAATTTGCATTCATTGCCTCCAGCTGTTCAAATGATCTGAGATTAAAATGTTCTTCACAGCACTGTCTTTTCAGAGATTTTATTTTCTTTCCTTTTTTGAGATGAAACTTAGAAGCAAAAGTTTTCGACTTTAAAATAACTCAGTCTTTGGTGTTTGCTGTGCTGTGAATGATATTTCCAGTAAATGGCCTCACGTAAGTCAATATCTAATTCGTGTCTACTTTCACTTTCTGACAATTATGACTGTTTTTTGACCTGGAAATCTGGAAGCTTGTTTATTAACCTGGTTTGATAAGCTTAGTGAAGACACAAAAGTAAACTTTTACTTTAAAAGTAAAAAGGGGAACGTTTCAAGTCCTGTCAAACAGAAACAGGATCTGCACTTTCCATTAGCCCAGTTCCTTCAGTTTCTGACAGCACACCGTGCCTGATGTCCTCAAAGCCCTGGTCTGAGGACTCATGGCCATGGCTGGTGCAGGACCACGTGGGGCTGTGGAGGAACACACACTGGTGTCCTCGTCCCCACACCATGCAGGCCAGCAGGACAGCACAGCTCCTGTCTGGTAAAAACCTTTCCAGAGGAAACCACAGGGAAGGGAATGACTGCGGGGGTGCACCTCCATCCCGCCCTGGTCCTGACGTGTGTGTTTGGCTTCAGAAACTGGAAGTCTCCCAGGCTTGCCACTTTCCCTGTGGCCCCTGTGTCTGCTTTGCCTGGCGGAGCCACTTCCCCCCTCCACCTTTCCCGGCCCAGAACTGCAATTTCTGTCCTTATTCCCGTGTGTGTTTTGGAGAAGCCAGCCAGGCGTGACGCTTGGCCATGCTGGAGAGCAGACTTGCTCCTGCAGTCCAACACACTGCCGGGGCATTTTTAAACAAAGGACTGCAAGATCTTCAAGCAACACGGGGGACAGTTCGCCAGTTCCTCGTGTAATAGAATGGGGTTAGTTTATGTATTTTTAAAGAGGACAGTTCAGGGGTTGACAGTCAGAGCTGAAAGCCTGAGGAATGTGTATTTGTTGTTGCCAGATGACTTGACAGATGACACCACGCACACCAGTAATCAGCAGCCTTAAGTCAGTGCTTGGAGGAGACACCCAGAGCTGCAGCATCTGTGGCGACCCGCAAGCCCAGCTTCCCAAAGCTATTCAGGGTACCTAAACCTCACTGGAGTCAGTACGCCGACATAATCAGTGGGGACCTTGCATGAAGATCAGCTGCAATGTCTTAATTGTTGGTGCTTTTTCTTTCAGCAAGCTAAAGCTGGACCAGGCAAGGCTATCCCAAGAGGTCAGCAACCAGTTGGAAAACCCACACCCACAGTCCATGGCTGCATATCGCGGCTGCGTAACAATGTGTGTTGTTTTCTCTGTCTTACATGTTTTAAGAAAAAGAAAAAAGAAAAAAGAAAAAAAAGAAAAAGAAAAAAAAAAAGAAAAAAAGAAAAAGAAAAAAAGAAAAAGAAAGAAAGAAAAAAAAAAGAACAAAAAAAAAAAAGAAAAAGAAGAAGAAGAGGAAGAAGAAGAAAAAGTTTTTCCTTTCCTCCTCAGACCAGAGTGAAATTCTCATAGCACTACCCTTCCTCCCACAAAAGCCCTTACTCAAAGACTGGTGGCACAACAAACAATTTATTATTTTTTTTTCTGAAAGAAATACAGGCAACAGAGAGTCCTTTTGCCAGTCCCATCCTTTCACTGGCATTGAATACAGAAAAGCTGCTCCTTGACAGTAGTCCTGCCAAGCCTAAATGAGCTGTGTCAGCTCGGGTTTGGATGATTTCCCTGTCGGTCCCGGGCATTTTCTTCTGCAGTCATTGTAGGGCACAGGCAAATTAGGCAGCTGCTGAGTAGATAGAGCTGCGAAATGGCCCATCACCACTTTGCCAAGGCTGCAGAGCCCATTGTGGGTCTCTGCATCCTGCCCCCCACCCCCCCCTTTCAGTGGCAGAAGAAGACCCAGCAGCTCCTCTCCTTCTCCTTCACTGTCAGAAAAGCAAACCAAAACGTCTTCCAAAGTGTTGACCAGCCTCGAGGTGACTACCCAACTAGGACACTTTCCTAGTGCCACACCACACCATCTCCAAAATGCACTGTGCCTATGGGCACCCCTGCACTCTCACGGCTTGCAGGGAGGGGAAGAAAGGTCACAAAGCCTCGATGAACAGCATAGCTGCAGCCTCATAGTGCTTTGTTTAGGAAAACAGCTGCCTTCTTTTTTTCCTGTGTGGTCTGAGCAACATGTAAGCAAGGACCAAAGTGCTTCCATGCCATGGTGGTGGTATAAAAGCAGTAATTGCTTGCAAAAGCCTCACTTGCATGGGGATCCCAGTGCAAGCACTGGGAAGTGACAGCCAGCTGTGTCCCCTGCCCTCCTCACACTCCTGCTCACCATGGGGAACGTGTGGAGTCACCTCCCACACCCGAGCAGTTCGCTGGCAATGTCCATGACACATTTGCCCCTTCTGCCCTCATGTCCTGCATCTCAGGGACTTCCTCCTAGCTGAAAATAGAGGCTTAGGGAATGACCTATCTGTCTGCCCAAAATTACAGGGGGAGGAAAAGCTCTTTGTGTGTATTTTTCTTTGGATTTTACTTTTTTGTGTGTGTGTGTGTGTATTTGTGTTGCTAGCATGACTGAAGATCCCAGCTGAAGCTGTGTTAGGAGTTGTACCAGCACTTAAAAAGGTGGACGTGTCCTGAGGACCCTCCCAGGAAGCAATGACAAGCGGTGGAAGTTGTTGAGAGAATAGGGAGAGTGTCTAATAAAACACACTAAAATGAACATCTGCTTTTTGGCTGGGGGTTACTGTAAATAAAATTAAATTGGTTATCTCTGATTTCTGCACAGTCATTGTTTTTTTCACATATCACAGCTGAGAAGGCAATTTGAGAGGGGAGGAAGAATTCACTTCTAATACTGCTGGCTGAAACCACATAGTAGCAGTAGAAATAGATTTTCTGTCTTCTTAAATTTTCAGATTAGGACTAGCTATCTTCTCAAGAGACCTTCCTTGGTCCAATGCAAGTCATTCAGCTCATTTGGAATTGCACAATCATGGGATAATTTAGGTTGAAAGTGACCTCACCAGGTCATCTAGTCCAACTTGCTGCTCCAAGCAGCACCAGATACGTCAGGCTGCTCAGAGCTGTGTCCACTGAAGCACTGAGTGTCTCCAAAGATGGAAATACCACAGCTTTTCTATGTTTGTGAAGCTCTGTAAGGATGTCTTCTCTGTACCTTCCCCTTAGGTAGCTGGGGTCAACAGAACAGTCACTTCCCCTCAACAAACCCCAGCGTCTTCTCACATGCCATGTGCTTTAGCACGTTGACCATCGTGATGGTCCTCCTCTGGGCTCACACTTGTGAGAATTTTATCTTTTTTTGCTAACTGATGTCACATCTTTTCTTTTTATTTACTTTTCTTTACTTTTTCTGAGAAAAAAAAAAAAAAAAAAAAAGAAGACTGCCAGGTCTCACCAGGCTGTGAACTCTACCCTCGACTTGCCATCTCCTGTACTGCTAATAGAGCCCAGTGTCTGGCTGTCCATCCTGCAGAAAGTGCACGTTGCTCATATTCAGCCTACTCTCCAACAAATCACCCTTACATTTTTCCCAAAGTTGCTTTCTATAAAATAAACCTGCAGCTTATACTTGTGCGGGGAGTAATTCTCCTGTCCCAGGTGCAGGATATCGCTCTTGTCTTTGCTGAACTTTGTGGTTCTTGTCAGCTCATTCCTTCAGCCTGCTGTTTTCCTTCTGAACAGCAGTCCTGCCCTCTAGCTTATCAACTGCTCTCTCTGACTTGGTACCATCCATGAACTTGCTGAGAGTGCGCTTTGTCCTACTACTCAGGTCACTGACATTTAGCAATGCTCTCCCAGGTGTCTAGCCCAGAGGGACACCATTTGTACTGCTTTTCACAAACCTTTGAACCCAAAGGTCCAGCCAGACTTTAGCCCACCTTACTGTCCACTTCTGCAGTCAATATCTGACCCATTTGGTCGTAAGGACACTGTGTCAAAAGTCTTCCTGAAGTCAACACCTGCTGCTCTGCCCTTGTCCACTGAGACAATCATCGCATCATAGAAGAAAAACAGGTGGGTAGAGCATGGTTTGACCTTGGTAAATATCTGCTGTCAGTTCCAAATCACTCTGTTGTCCTTTGTGTGCCTGGAAACATCTTCCCAGAGGATCTGCTCCATAACCTTTCCAGGGACTGAAAGTTGAGACTGAGAAGCTTGTAATTCTCTGGATCCTCCTTCTTGCCTTTCCTCAAGAACACTCTGACATTTGCCTTTTCTCCATCACCAGAAACCTCTGCTGGTTGCCAGGACTTCCCAACAGTGTCCTCGCAGCTCTCTCAGCACCATGTGATGAAGCCCATCTGTCTCATGGACTTGTGCATGTCCAATTGACTTAGGCTGTCCCCCTTGCTGCAGGCTTCGCTGTCACACCTTTGTCACCTTTAGTTGTTACCCCACAAGCCTAAAACCAGTAACTCCTGACTACACAACCCACAGCCAAACTGGCAAGCTGCCCATTAAAATCAATGAGAATCTTGCTTTTGTTTTCACATTGTTTGGACTTTGAACAAAACCTTGTTCCCTGCTTGTTTGTCTCTTGTCTGACCAGGAGTGAAAGTTTCGTTATAAACAACAATGGGAATTTTTGCCTTCCAAAACTACTTTGTGACCCAGTCTTTCCTTTTCTGCTAACTAATGTCTCAATTTATTTTTTTTTTTTTGAAAACAAACAAACAAGCGTGCAAATAAACCAAAAGAAACAAACAAACAACAACAAAAACAGAAAACAAGATAAGTCCCATAAGCCCATGGGATGCAAAAGACATTGAAACCCTGGCAGAATAAGGAGCCTCATTGTCAGCTCCAGGTTTTCTGTCAGGTCAGTTGTTCTTGGAAATGGTTGCAATCTTCATTCTCCTCTCACCCTGAAGATCACGTAATTCTGAGGCCAAGATACTGTTTTTAAATCACAGAAGGGATGAGATTGGGAGAAAATGGCTGCTAAAAGCAGAGATATACTCGGGAAACCAAATCTATTGTAAGCTGTTAGCAAACCACACATGAGATCACTCTGAATGTTCAAAGAATACACGTTACTTTCCTGAGGGTGGAAGTGAGACTGAACAGTTTTTGAACCCATGCAGGATAGGACTCGGTAACCATATGTGCTTGGTTAAAAATATTTTATACTATAACAAAAGCAAAACCATCCCGCTGAAAGGAGATGTTGGATCAGTTATCTGAGTGCTGCTGAGAGTGAGAAACCTTACTGATTTCCTGACCAAATACAGTGCAAGTCACTTAGCCGAAATACTTTATCTATGAATTTTAATAGCCTTGAGAATTTGAACCTTCGTTTCTTCATCTGTAAAATGATGATGTTGGCAATATAACCCCTGTGTCATGAGCTACTTGGATACTGTGTTACTGGTGATCCTATCAATACCTTAATATAAATTAAATAGAACTAGAATTGCTTTGCTGCAGACTACTTTATCTTAGTCTAAATTTGATCCTTACAATCAATAGCTATTTTTACTTATTTTTTTAATGTACAAGTTCCTATTCTTTAGTTGTTTTTACCTTCTTACAATAAAGATTGTCAGAAGGGTCACACTTCTTTAAGTTTGAGGAAAACAGGATTTATCCTGCCACTCCCTGACTTTTTCTACTGTAATGAAGAAGTACTCTGACTATATCCACTATAATACTACTTTTGATGCATGACAGCAAAATATTGTGATAATTTATATTACTGCTCAATGCCCTGACTGCATGTTACTATCACAAGCATAAGACTTTGTTCTGAAATTGAGTTTCCAAGATGATAGCCAGGGTACTGTTGGCCATGATTAGTTATTAGCTGTGACCATTACTTGGCTTTCAAACAGGATGGGAGCTATGCCAGGGGCCTAATTGTTCCAACTAAAGAGAACTCAAATGTTTAAAAGAACAATTCCTATTGTAAAATTTCATCTACATTTTCCATGTCCCCATATTCGCATTATGCAAACGCGATGGTGTGGAATAGATAGAATAGGCGACCAGTGGTCTGAACATCTGGTTTCTCTTCCTGGGTGTGGTGTCCCTTTCTTCAGCTCTAACACAGGGGATAACTGCTAGCTTGTCTCCTGGGAGGGATGTTTTTAGATGAGCTGTGGATAATGTGTAGAATCAGTGCTGAGTACTTGATAAAAATCGGCCATTTTTCCTCTTCTTGAGGCCTGTTTCAACCTCTGCAAAAACAAATATGTGTTTTGAAGTGCAGCCTTAAGTCAGGTTGTGACTGAACAAAGTTCTAACATTGCTACATTAAAGCTGAAGAGTAAAATCCTGTTATTAGAAGGGGATTCAGGAGCCACTCTCAAACCTAAATCTGCTCCTAATATGGGGCTCTGCGCTTCTGAGTGAAGCACACAAAGATTAATAAGGCATTATAAAGGCTATTTTTTTTATTCTGTCATTACTTCAGTGTAAACAGATTGCAGTACTTTGCATAGGGAGGAGCATGAGCTTCAAGAGCTGGTGAGCCATCAGAGATGGTAATTGGAGTTTCTGGCTGAGTATAGAAACACACACACAAATCCCCACAGCAAACAGAGTATATAGCCTGAGCTGCAAATATGAATGTTGTTTCTCTGTGCTCATTTTTATTTCCACTCAGTAAAATAATTCACTATGTCAATAGTACATGGGAAGCATGGATGCTAATTTACATCCCTTTGTAAAGGGTTTCAGATGATTATACTTCCCTCACAGCCAATCCTATGCTAATGAGAACTCCCTGATTCCAAGACACTGCCTGGATTAATGTTCATGGACTCTGCATCAGGGTAAATGACCTGTGGCATAGCTTTAATTAAGGAAGACGGCCACATAATTAGAATAACAACGGCTTACTATCAATTTCTGCAGCAAGTCTCAGCCTCTGGATGATACGTCATTTGCGTGCACCGCCTGCATGTGGGTGGACTACTACATGAAAGGCCCAGAAAGGAAAGCTTTGTCATTTCTAAATGGATATTACATAAACTGCACCCTTTATAGAATCCCTCCAGCTGCCGTTGTAGCTTATTGTTGCAAGAAGAGAAACAGAAACCAGCATTGCACAACACAGACCCAAGGAGAGATTTGTACGAACTGGTTGCTGCTCTTTTGGCCTGACTTTTTGAGCAGATGTAGTAAAAGATTTGGCAATGTCTCAGACAAGAAGCTGGCAGTTCTGTGGAAGAGTGGAGCACAGGTCAAAATATCTGGGTGCCTGATTCTACTCTTCCCCTGCGTACTTCATATGACATATTTTGAGCCTAGCCTTGGTATTTTAGGTGGACATTTTACATACCAATAACAAAAATTCCTGTGTGAGCAGTTTGATGCTTGGAAAAATAAGTCACCACTATCCATTAGCCATTGCACTTTCCAGATAAAGATTTGCATGAGAGTAATTAGCTTTGAACAGTCTGGTACTGAAGAAATTTGGACCCATCTCTGGTAGAGACTAGATTCTTTCTGAGTGTTTGCATGGCCCCCTAGTCAGATGAAGACCTAAGTTTTAAACATAGCCTGTGGACTCAAATTCTTTTACAACACAGACTCTTTAAAACTGCACTTTAGAACACCCTTGCCACAAATCCCAAATCGGGTCCTGTAGTATTAACAATAACCTAAGCTTTCCTGACATGTCATGGCTAGACCGACCCTCCTGTTGGATCCTGTCCCAATGATCCTCAATGTTTCTAGTGCCTTTCTCAGCCTCACCCATCATATCTACATGTGTCTAAGTCTTCACACATAGAACAAATCACTTTTTTTT